ATGGTTGATTTTATGTACTTGAATACTGTTAAGAGGACGGTAACAATTTGAAAAACATTGATTGCCAAAATTGGTATCCGTTCGGTAACTACTAATAGGGTTTCAGTTATACTTGTGCATCATTTCTCCGGTGAATAAAGTTTTATTAATATCCAGAAGCATTAGAAATTGGAAGCTGCTATAGCGATGTATTGATTTTCATTATTCAAAGTAAAATATTATTTTCAAAACTTTATTTTCCTATTCAACAATATGTAAATCGACTCGCACAACTAACCTCTTGTAATTGCCCCGTAATCGATATTCATCGGTCTCAATGCGTGTAAACGGGTACCTGGGAATCGATTCGTACACATTTGACGTAAGTTTAAGTATGAGCATTGATTTTGGAACACATCCACTAGACGTCGCTATAATCGTATTACCTTCAAATCAATAAAAACTGGTTTTCGACGAATGAAATTAGTGGCACATATCCAAAAAAAATTCAGCGTAGCGTGCGACGGTCCACTACCGCGTGGTCATACCGATTATTAACAATAGAATTGTATATCTACGAAGCAATAAAAAAATAACGGTACGCGTGTGTCGTAATGTGATCGCGAACCACCAGATGAGGGGGCCGCATCCGTTAGAAATAATTAAACGCTGATGTAGAAAATCACAACCATTTATTTAAATGAAAAATAAACAATTAATAATCATGACATAAACGAAAAAGTTTGCAGTACAATTACAGTATAAACTTCATTTCATTCATCTAGCGATTCGAAAACTCGTATTTTTGTTTCGTTAACGATCAACGATATGATGCGTTTTGCATAACCGGTAAAACAGATAAAAGAGCTTTTGAATTAGTTTTTTTCCTAAAGCGGGGTTGTGGGGAGACTGATTTTATTCGTTAGCTATTTCGGGGGTCGTGCCGTTAAAATAGGTTGAGAAACTCTGCGCTTCAAAACATGTACGCAACAACAACAACAAATGATACCGGTCGATGTGTTATTGTTATATCAATTTGTTCGACAGCACGTGCACAACAAGCGAAGTCGCAGGAGTCGATGGATCGTAATTTTGACGCGTACTATTTCGTTCGAGATATATTGCTCGGGTCCACCAATTGGGTGCGGCGTGCAAATAGCAAATAGCAAATTGCAAATTAAATAAATTATCCCTTGATTTTAACATCTCACGGTAATCTTATTGCAGACGATCGCCCATAAAGGTGTTAGCACTGCAGGGGTGTAATTTAGTCCAATTTTTTTTATTTTGATCTGCACTCTGTCCAAAAGTGGACAAAATAGATAAAATGGACGGAACCTCGTAACTTGTATTATTACAACACAATATGAAACTTTTCAAGGTTATAAATTTTATAAATTTCTTAAAATGTTTTATACTATAATAATTATTTAAAATATCTTAAATCCAAGTCAAATTTTATATATTTTTTATTTTATGTTTGATATCCCTTTCAGTTCCCTTGGCCTCGTAAGAGGCCTTGCATTTCAACAAATCATATATAACTAACAAAATAACATACCTAAGAACTTGCTTAACATCAATAACAGTTGTAAATTACACACTGTATATTCAATAAAAAATATCATCAATCATGTCAAATAAATATGTTAGAATTTATTTGAATTAAATAAAAAAAAAAAAAAAAAATTGAAATTTTGAAAATCGTATTATCAGTTTAATTATATTTGATAATTCGAATAGTTGTGATACTAAAAATCCAATTTTGTATTTCTTCCATGAAATAATGTTTATATCTAACTGTTGTTTTGACAGTTTGACCCAACAAATGTTCACATAAGTTGATTATATTATGGCTTCCAGGGAGGCCACTGGGTGTTGGTGGTATCACCGCAACAGTTGAAATTAACGGTGACTGTATATTGATACAAGCTCCGAAATTTAGTAAAATGTATAAAATGCAACGTTAATTTGTGTTTTACTAAAATAAATAAATGCTTCAGACCTTAACCATATCAAAGAAAGTTCCTAATTGTGAAATTTAATTAAAATGCTGAAAGATGTTATGGATTTTTATTTTATTAAAATGAAACTAAAGTGTTATTTATTATTATTTTAATTATATAGTTTTATTTATGTCTAATATACATGACAATTATTTATATTATGTTACCTTATTTGTTATTTTATAAATTAATAAAAACTAAAATGTTGTTTATTTATTACAATACACTGTTACCTATAACAATAATAAATTAATTCTGTTATGTTTCATTGTTTTTTATTTTATTAAAAAAAAAAAAAATGTATTTTATGGGTGATAAAATTTATATAAATGACAAATAATATTTATGAATGTTACATATTATATAAATGAATTGTTAAATTTAATTATATTACAAATAATTTAAAAATTACTGAATTCAAAAACCTAATGATTTAATTCCGTATATGCCCAGTAATTTCATACTAAGCCATATATGACTCATGGTAAGTCTAAATTGTTTCAAATTTCTATTTGAGGTAATATACACAAAGAAAAATAGAATAAATGAAAAAAAAAATTTTTTGAACAAAAAAAAATAAATTGGGAATGAAAGGGTTAATAAGTAAAATTAGACATTTATAATTGTTATAACTATAGAACTTAAAAGTAAAGTAAAAAGTCATGCCAAAGAAGTTAATAGAATAAAAACTAATTTAAATTATTAAATTTTTTTATTTATTTATTTATTTATCCACGATCTCCGGGACACATTATGTCCAATTATACTGTGTTAACCCTGATGCACTGGCAAAACGTCTCGTGTGCATCCGGACAAATGTTTGGAGACGGACGTGTACGATTCAATCGCGTTCCCATAAGGGGCACCTTAATCTAACCTTATCTGATCCAAGAGCTAACGTTGCAGTAATATATATGCGCATTTTTTCGCTGTGATCATCAACGAATTGTTAGTTCGTGGTATTGGGATTGCTTTCGATAATGTCGGAAAGTGTCGGAAAATCTATCTCCCGGGAAATAAGTTACGCCTGGGAAACCGCCGTTATATTTGAATAAAATAGTGCATGCGTACGTGTGTGTAGAACAAGAGTAAATCGCGTCGATAAAAAGTCAAATCACGACAACATGTTGTGGTGAATGATTTCCGGATAGAGGTTTTTTTTATTTTTCAATTGAAAATGGAAAGATTTTTCTTAAAAGAAAAAAAACGCGATGGAATGTATATTTTATACTTTACTAGTCTTTCTAAAGTCATAAACACACACCACACACACAGACACATCTACATAGTGGTAAACTTGATGCACAATCTTTTGGCGTTCACATCGAAATATTATTACTAATATGTTGGCTAGAGTAATAAATTTTTCTAAATATTTTCGCAATCGTGATCATCCAAAGCTTCGTAAAAATCGTTAAAATATTGTTTATTTTGTTACAGAAAGGTTTGTTTGATTTTTAAAAACAGTACTCATAACCGAGACTACAAGTAAAGAATAAACTACCCATAAATTAATAATATTGATTGTCTATAAAAACTATTGTATTCAATTTCTTTTAGTCGTATTCTGCGAATCGAAAGAAAGTAACAAGAATTTGTAATTCATAAAATGTATATACACTGTGGGTAAAATCATATGAGATACAATAGGACAAGAATAATAGGGAGAAGTAAATATGTTTATTTGATATCTAAAAAAGAAAAATATAAAAAGAAGACAATTTTATTGACTATAAATCAATTGAACGGTTTTAATTGGTGTTATTATGACTTTTCTATATTTTTCTTTTATTGAAATAAAGATAAAGCGAGTCTTTCCAGATTTTATTGTTTACAGATATTTTTTAAAAACGAATTAAAAACAATAAAAACATTTCGTTGTAGAATATTTACATTATACGCTTAGTAATAGTTCAGTGCGAATGGAATAATAAATCGATTCGTAGAGTTTATTTGGTTAGCGCAGGAAAAATCATAACAACATTGGTGAAAAAGGAAAATAAAATCATTACGGCTATACTGTAGACTCGCAGTAGCGTAGCGGTTTTGTTTGGTTAATATAATTGTCATGGTTTACCACCTTCAGCTGTAGGACATTACAGTGATTCTGAACTATTATACATACAATTCGTATTGTCATACGAATAATAATAATAATAATAATTATCCATACAATAATGCGTTTTACGTTCTACCGATGGAGTGTGTGTGGTAATACATTAAACAATCACGTAACATACGTGACATTTACACATTACTTTGACGAGTGCTGATGTTTATGTATGTTTAACAAATGTATGTTTAAAGTATAATCGACATATTACATGTACGTAATTTCAAATATACTCTACTCTGTACATAATGTTAAAATAAGAAAACTATTACTGATAAAAAAAAAAATAATAATATACTACGGCATAAATCTGTCGTCCCTTCAAAATTGCTATCACCATATACAAAAATATACGACGTTTGAAAAATATCGAAAACAATATTCACTTTATACTTTGGTGCAGTGTTTCATAATATGAGCCCGTCCACCCTAACTCTTAGAGGCATTTCGATAAGGCCGATTCCCCTATTACTTAGACTTTTAATACGAGTTGTTTTGGATCAAGCCAAAAACTATTTACCCTCAATTTTGAAAATAATTGGATTTAATGATATGATTTTCCTGTCGACATACCTAGTCAAAAATGGCTTTAGTATAGTTCATCGAATTCTCATAAATTATAAAAAGTGTTTGTCATGGAACAATTTTCGAATGAAAATTAGAATTGTTATTTAAGTATAAATATAGAATAAAAATTAAACTAGGTACTAGTTTTTCTAATGCTGGGAATAAAATATTTTAAAAAATGTAGAGGAAACGTTGAGTAAAAAATGATCAGGAAATACTTCCCTAGTATGATTGTTGTAGAGACATTTAACTCCACAGTAACCTATTGTAAAAATAATGAATAAAAAATAATAATAGTAAGTCGTTTCGTTTATGAATTCAATTCTCGGTTGCAGATGAACTCGAGCTACGGTAAATCACCGTCATTGCCGGACCGGTCGTCTACGATGAACGTCGACGGGATGCGATCGACCACAGTTGGGCTGAAATTGGAGGTGAACAGTTTCAAAGTGGGCAAGATGCGCATAAGATGCGTGGCCGAGCTGTACGGCGTGTTCAAGACGTCCGCGGAAACTGTGCTGGACGAGGAGAAACCGCGATTGGCTTCGATTCTGGGCACGTTCTCGTCCACAGGTAAATGTAGAAAACGATATGATATTGTTAAATTCTAAAAGTTTACGTCGTTGGCGCGTGATGGAGGAGAAAAAAATCTGTTCACGGGACGGTGATGACGAGAAGGAAGACGCGGGGAAGGACGAGTAGCATAATGAGAGCGGACTTGTGCGGCGAAGGCAACCGAATGGTCGCACGGGGTACTGTGTGTATACATATTCTGTCTCCGAGAGACAGGGTCACGGTGCTGGAGCCTAAGAGAACGAGAGAGATACTGGCAGAGAGCGGGTGAAAAATGTAGTGTAAAATGAGTTTACGGGGGATTAAGGGCACATTCTTCGCGTCGTTGTAATGTAATGGTCTCCAGTCGTGTGGAAAGCAATTTATTTGCTCGATGGTCTGTTCTGCTGTATACGCTCGGCGTTTGTGCCGCTGCTATATCGAATATATCACACCGGAACTCGGCCGCCACCGCCACCAGTCCCTTCGCTGAAGCCATCCATGTGTGTATGTGTGTGTATGTGTGTGTGTGTGTGTGTAGTTTACATCTATACATATATGTACTTACCGTACACGTGTGCGTGTTTATATTATATAAGGAACGTGATACCGGATTTTATCGAAAGTTTTGAAACGTCATCGATGTGTGTAATTATTTATATCATCGTCTCAATAACTGTTATCGGTGGTCTGGAGGAAGAAAAAAAAAACTATCGCGATTGTCTGCGAACGAATAAATATTTTATTAATAATATCGCGCGAAGACCAACGTATACGGACATTATTATAAAATTTACTCGCATTCGTGTCGCGTAAACCCTTCGCGCATCTCCGCAGCGGTTTTCTGCCGATAACACTCTAGTGTCAAATTTATCGGTTTTCACACGACACGTTTCTTTTTTCATCCCTTTTGTACGCGCACAAACATGTACGCGTGCGAATAGATGCGCGTCAAGTGCGCTATGAAAATCGATCGCCGGAAAACAGTTCGGTAAGTACGCGCGTGCGATACGCGACAGGACGACAGGAGAAAACAACCGAAACACGCCGCACTCACTTTACTACACGAACGTACAAACATACACGCACACGCGCACGCGTGAGAGGAGCAAAAAATAAATAAATAAAAAATTAAAATAAATACAAATCTTAAGTGGGGATGATACGTTTTTGGTGTCCCTGTAAAAACAACACTATGTCACGCACGTACCAGTCGCGGGGATTATTCCCGGGGTTTTTCTTTCCTCTAACGAGGTTTTCGGTAAATCTACTAATGTATATACAGACGTAAGACGTAACGCAAAATATAATCTACGAACACTTAGCGAGTCCGTTTTATGTTTCGATGGGAATGCAAAAAATAAAACACACGTGTATTTGATGTGCAATAAATGTTAATAAGTGTTCCTATGAATACGAGATGAAATTCGCGTTGACGAAAAATCCATCCGACGATTGTTTCTACTATAAACACCATACGTGTAGCCTATGTATAGCACGATGAAAATAAAATAAAACTGTTTCTTGGACAAAACGCGTGTGTCACACACATCGACTGCATACGTTCCGACACGTAATGTATTTTTATATTCGATACATATATTTCTCGGTAAATTTATAAATACGCACCGAACGCGTACTTATTTCAGAACAACCACGGATTATTTATGAAATTGAAAAAAATACGTTATTTTTTAATGTTTACTGTTCTTTTTTGATTAAAATATATTTGTTTGCGAATGCATATTATTAATTTGTAATCCTGTTCAAATATGGAGGAAACAAATAGTTTTTGTTGGAATTTATCAATTTTATATTGTATTTATAACGTACTGAGGTACACTCGATTCCGGAATACAATTGATTAATGTCTAGGATGAAACTACCTTGTCCGTATAAAAACTTGTTTAACGCACAAATTCGTTAAACGTTTCCAGTTTCAAGGAAAAATTATTACTTTTCCTGCCGGTAATAAAGAAATCCACCACGTTTTTCATCTAATTTTGATAGAAATCATAAAATTGTTTAATTCTTTATTTACCGAATCACACGAAACGATTCCACGGAATAAAAGAAAAATGTATACTCAGCAGAATATTCCAATGAATATAAATTCCAAAGAATTTTAAAACTTTAAAAACAACACAGCAAATTATAAAAAAAAAAAAAATAAACACCATTATCCTCGAAACCACGTAGAATTCGTTGTAAGTATATGTTCATGAAATACTCGTCAGAGGAAAATAACTTCTATCTAGACGGGTCTATACAGAATTCAGATATTTTTGAGTTTTCGTAAGAATTTATATTATATTAATGAAAATCTTATGTTTTTAATGTTTATTGCGTAAAGATATGTATTTATAATCGTCTTTAAAAGTTATAATAAATCGAAATAACATACATTTTGCAGGAACAAGTAAAATGATAACACCATGAAATTGGTAAAAATGTAATTACATTTCTGAATATAAAAAATTCTTCTATGATTTCGTTTAATTCTATTTAGAATTAAACTCGACTCATTGTATGATTTAAAATTTGACTATATTAAATAGGTACGCTAACATATACGTTAAAAAAAAAAAAAAATATACAAATCCGAGTTCAGACTATTAATTTGTCTACCATTTATTTTAAACGAATTAGTTATTTGCCAAGTTCTTTAAATGTGATTGTCTTCTGGGATAATTAATTGTCATTCTTATGTTTTTTTATTTATTTACTTGAGTTTAATGTATTTTATTTGTAATTTTGGTTTTTGCAGGTACATTGAAGATGACCTCTCAACCGTTTTGGATCGTGATATTCATTAGCATGTGGATGAGATAACCATAAAAAGTTAGAAAATTATTAAAAAAAAACCTATAAAAAAAAGACAAAAATATTAATCAAATAAACAAGAAAAAATACCACGTCAGTGATTTTGTTGATTTTCGTTTTATGTAAATCTGTAAAATTTTAAAACGTGTTATTTTGAAGTTGAAAAAACTTCGTATAAATATTTATGTATACTGTTGTAAATATAATTATATTAGAAAAAACAATCTATAGAATATTGTTATGTGCGTAATAAATATGTCGGTTAACACTGATTAAAATTTATTATTATTTGACTATATTATAATATTTTATTGTATTATATAAAATATTCATATTAAAATATATATATACACTAAATAAAAAATTACATTATCCATTTGATTATTTAAACGTTTACGGAAAAAGAAAAAGAAGTATTTAGTTAGACGTATGTGTCGGTAAAAACTTTAAATTATATGTTAAGATTGTTGTAATTTAATATTTGTGTTGAATAAAATTTTGATGCATTTCCAACAATGTGGTAATAGTATTATTATATTTTTACTTTACCTTACCGACGATAAAACGGCGTTAAGCATAGGCAGTTCAGGTACATTTATGCATTGAACACATTTGTCCGAGAAACTGTCATGTCAAAAAACAATTATTGTACTACTATTATTATACTAGTAATATAATCAGTGGCATATATTAAATCCTGCTCAGGGGGAGGGGGTTAAAAAAGTAATTGTTATTTTTTATTTTTTTTTCGTTGCACAGATAAATAAGATAAATAACTAATATAAATAGATATTATTTTATATAACTTTTTTACCAATTTACAGTTTACTTTTACATTACAGTAAATTAATAGCTATTGGAATATGAAAACAGCATAGTTAACAAAACTTTTCAAACGCCTATTAATATAATTATTTAATTATTATAATATTTGTATAGTTGTATATTTTAAGTTCAAAGCGTAATAATGGAACTCCGAATATATTACACGTCATCAATAATAAAAAAAAATTTCCTTTTTTTTTCTTTTTTGGCTTTGGAGGGTTTGACCAGGACCCCCCTCTCCATATGTAAGTCATTGAATACAATAATAGCTTTTTAGTATGGTATAGTTACCATAATACTATAATGGTATTCTGTTGTTTTACAATTATTATTTCGATTTTACGAAGCGAGCGTTATTCGTAGGCGATTCTAGTGAGTTTTTTTTTCTCCTAAATATTAAAAATACATTCAAAGGCGTGTAGGTAAATTGAGTCCTAAACGAAAATATCTTTTTTCGAAATAGTTAAACTGAGTCCCAATTATAATATTGAAATTGGTAAACTAAGTCCCACGTATAAAATTTAAAGAGGTAAACTGAGTCAATGGTAAAACATTTAAGGCGGCAAATTGAGCCCCATCTAAAATATGTATTAAATGTATTTAAATGTATTTAAATTATAAATATAATCGTTGATATAGTTATAAATTAATCGAGTACGATAGGTAAGTGTATCTTATCGTTACATCGTTAAATATTATTATATTTTGTTCCGTATTATAACGCAACATTTTCATAAGTACCTAACTATTTACAACACAACTGGATGTGATATGTAAATGTGATAAATTTAAGTTTAATGCACGTAGTATACAATTTTGTTAGTATAATTAAAAGTGTGTTATATAAAAAAAAAAAAAGGCATTTCATCATATTTTAAATTATCGCTTTAATTTTTATACAAGGGACTTAATTAACCGATTTAATTTTTATACGAGGGAGACTCAATTTACCGATTTCATTTTTATATGAGGGACTCAATTTACCTTTTTTTTTTTTTTTTTTGTGTGGGATTCAGTTGACCTAAAATTAATAAAATGGGACTCAATTTAACAAACTTCAAAATTAGGTCGGACAGTTTTAATTCGTCCAAAAACGCCGAAGGACTAAATTGTTTTGAATATCAATTTATTGTTTTTTTTTTTTTTTATGTTAAACATTTTTTTAAGTTAAACATACGTGAAATATGTTTTGGGGTGAGTAAAATGTCCGCCTAACCGACCGATGGCTGAACACCAAAATAATATTTTATCAATTCGAATAACACGACGTATGCAGTGGGTGCCAGTTAAAATCGCGAACAAAATATCGCGAAATATTTTAACAGCGAAAACATTAATAGCGAAAAGTAAGAAATTACTTTTAATTTTTAATTATATTTATAAAGTAATTATTATTAAAGTATTATAATATATATTTATACGATTATTATTATTTTAATTTTTATTTTAACATTTATTTTGAATTAAATACCTTTAACACAATATTATTATATGATTATAGTTTATTTACAAATAATCTTAAAAAAAGTTAAAAAGCTAAAAAAAAAAAAGTAGGGGTTTCACGAAAAATGTGAATATCAAAAAGGGTTCCACGGATGAAAAATAGTTTAAGAAACACTGCTCTATAATATAATAAATAATAATAAACATAAAAATATCATTCAAATCAAAATACTATATAAAATAAAATTTAAATTTGATATTTTTCTTAAACTTACAATGTGTAAGTATATAAAATACATCATCACACTATGCTATGATCACAATATGAAAAAAAAAAAATTGAAAAATTAAATAAAAAACATTAAAAGCAAAACACTATGTACAATTAAATTTAACTTTGATATGACAAATTAAATGCAACACCTCTTAGGTATTCAAGTCTATTTATATTTTCGTAGTCATTGACTAATCCTTTAAGTGTATCCCTTTTTCGTTTTCTGGATGGTTCAATTGTACACGCTATGTACTGATTTATTTTTATGTCGTTTAAACTCTGTTCCTTTTGAATTGTTTCAGTAAATTTTCTTATTGTTGGATGACATTAACTCAATAAATTATTAAAACCTCTATATCACCCTCAACATAATTATTTATTTTAGGTAAATCAGATATAATAGAAGTAAAGCAGTTCCACAGTGAAATAGGAAATCTGGGGTTCCTTCTTCTATGTCTATTTGGACGACCGATCCATGTATTCTCAAAGTAGGAAATAAGTGGTTCTAACACGTTTTCATTATTAATGTAATATGCACCTTCATACAATGTCTCAAATGCGTCAATTACGTCATTTTCCGGAATCAAAGCCAAGGCAAACAAGTAACGGACTTGCAATGAAAATTTTTTTGAGTTTGCTTTATATTTTTCTATCATTACGGAAATAGTTTGAATTTTTCGCCAAACACATTGTATTTGATGAAAAAAAACCGCCATTTTGTTCAGCATTTGGAAATTGTATTTTAAATGCGTATAATGAGCTTTGTTTAAAATCAGTCATTATTGTTTTGGAATTTAAATTAATATTATGTGTTTTTATTGCCGAATATAACCTTTCATACGAACTTTGTGTTTTATCTGGCATTAAAGCGAAAACTACTGGTATTATTAAATTATGCTTTATAACATGTATCATGTATACTTGTGCAAATAATGGATGACATGACTTAAAAGGACCATCTGCAAACCAATTATTAGATTTAGACAGTAAACCTAAATTCTCTTTCGTTGCAAATACTAAAATCCGATTTTCAACTGGTTCAATGTCGTTTATTAAAAATTGACGACCATCAATAGTGTGGGAATATTTATCAGGTATTTTAATATCTATTATTGTTAATGGGTTAGTTGGAGCAGAACTATTAATTTGCCGTATTCGACACAAAGTTCGTATAATATAACTTACTGGAGGGAGAGCCCCGTGAACGGCTTGCGAACACAATGTTGTCGCTTCTGAAACGATCTGATGTGGATTATCTTGAGATGACAGAGCTCGAATTTTTATTTTTTCTATACAAACATGTCGTTCAATTTCTAAATTCGATATGGTATGGTTATGTTCATTAGGTCCTTTAACAATTTCTTTGTTTTAAATTAAGGCGTAAGTTACATAAGCTTTCAATACATCTCCAATACATGGAAGATTTATATTTTTTGTCGAACCTATAAAAATAACCATTATATTTTAATACATTTTTGGTTTTTTTACTTTCTATAAACTTCATTACGAATGTATTACGTATGAATATGACAACAGACAACTTGGTAATGATTATAGGTTTTAAAACTGAAAAGTAAAAAATTAAATTTATTATCTAGATATCATTATTATTATTTACTATATGATAAAGCTTGGCTTATCTTTATTACGTGATCCAAGGCGCAAAAGTACAAAATTACATTATTGATTATCTAGTATTATTATATTATAAAGGTATACCCACTAACGAAAAGAATTTCTTTCTTTTCGCTATTAATGTTTTCGCTGTTAAAACATTTCGCGATTTTCATTTTGGACATTTTATTTCCGTGATTTTTACTTCCGCGATTTTCACACGGACTCCTATGCAGTTAATTACGATTTAAAAAACTAACATTGTTAATTAAATATGTATAACTTCATACATATAATAACTATAAGCAATACGACAATATTATTTATACATAGATAGGGTATATTTTCTATCATTATTTTTATGATTATTACAACTAATATATTTTTCAACTGGTTGCGAATTATTTTATAAGTCTTGTGCAAGAGCCTTGTGTAACTCCTTGTTCGGAATTATCCGTCAACCGTTACATCGATATCGAATTCGATCTAATAACTTGTGTGTATCGATAACAATCGTAAGCAGACGTCTGGTAAGTACATGACGAATCAAAAACGTAGTATTTTGCACCCCACAGCTTGTTGCTACAGCGAACCGTTAAAATCATACGTCTCCCGTTTCTTTTTCTCTCGGTTGATTTTGTTCGTAAACGATTACGATAACAAGCGCGAACTGTTAAATTATTGTTTTCTCCTTCCGCGTATTTTTGTTTTAGCGTTGAAATATTTACTCAACTGAAATTCGTAACGAGGCGGTTTTGGTCTTGCCAAAAAATCCGTGACGTCTGCAATATTATATTTGTAATAGATTGGAGTACTGATCGATATTAGTAGCACACGTGGCGCATTTTAATCGTTTCTTGTTCTAAACGTACGTAAGGGGATGATGTGCAACGTCATAATAAGTGAACGGACTAGAAATTACTTGGAAAAACCAACCGTACTCGTATTTGACGTTCTCGAATTGAAAGGCACGGGAAAACTCCTATGTTCTTTATACTAATTCGTAGCGATTATTATGACGCCTATGCGTAATAATTAATACGGATATATATTATTTGTCTTTTTGAGTTATTTTCATAAAATATTTAGTCTTCAA